CAGTTGGTGGGACCCCTACATCTGGTACCCTATGGATATTAAACTTAAAGCCTAGATAATTAGATATTCACACCTTAATTGTTAATTTATTAGTCTTCGTTGTTAGGTCATATTCAAACTCAGTTCATCCTCAAAAAATCTCATGCTACAAAAAAAAACAAACAAAAAAAACTTCATGAGCTAATTATTGAAATAACATTATTTTTTTCTAATTAAACGCCAAAGGTTAAAACATCTCGAGCGTGGGCTATCTAAACAATAGTTTTTAAAATTCAAATCATTCAGATCAATTCAATATAAAACATGGAATATATTTAAAATTGTATTGAACTATAATTTATAAATAGTGTAACTCCTTTTTAATCAGTCACAATTTTTTTTATATGGTTTCACGTAATTTTAATTTTATTCATTTGATATTGATCTGTATGTTTAAATGTTAAAAGTTTGAATACGATCTTCGTTGTTTTTAGTGATATATCTTTCTTGTATATTGCAGGGGAAGATTATATACTACCTCCAGTCTTTATTATAAGACTCCGTTTGACTTTTTATTTGGTCCTAATTATAAGACCCCAATCCATTTTGTCTTTTATATTTATGTATTTTTTTCCAAGATAATCCTTCTAATAATGATAGTTCTAGCCAATATATTTAATTAGCAAGGATATTTTAGGAATGACAACACTTATTTATTACAAATAACCAACTTAACTTACTTCCTTAATCTCCTCAAATAAGTCAATTGGGTCTTATAATTAGGACCGGAGGTAGTATTTAGTTTACATAAAAAGAATCTGAAATCGTTTATTTTTTCTTACCCTTGATATAAGGCATTGTTTACCATCGGTATATTGTGGAGAAATTTGTACTAAAGAAATATTTTGGAGAATTTCTTTTTCCCGTGGCATTAAATTTCATAATACACACAAAGTAGTTTGCATTTGAGCGTAGTTCAGATTATAAAAGTAGAGTAATAAGAGTCTAAATTCGGAGAATTCTTTTAAAAAAATATTTTTAAAATTCAAAATTTCAAATAAGTAGTATTTACTATACTTTTATAACAATTAACAATATTTAAAAAGTAAATAACAACACATTTTTGTAGTCATTCTTGATTGGAGATTTCAAGATTTTAAAGATATTTTTTTGAAATTTTTCCTTCAAACTTTTGTAACAACAAAATACATTTTTTGTATTTTTTTTATCCATACTATTTTTTATTTCATTTTATTTTGCACGCTAGCTTAGAGGTGCCTGTACTACTAGTATTTACTTTTCTGGTCTTATTTATATAATAGAGAGAGAAGTTTTTTTTGGTCTTATTTATAAGGCATTAAGAGAAATTTTTTGTACGGATTTACAAGTTTACCTTTCATTTATTATTAGATTGACTTTGTTTAGATATAATATAGTGTATATTAAATATAGATAAAGTTAAAAAGTTGTTGAATTTTAAATAAGAGTTAATGAAGTTTAAAATTTTTCTTAATCTGTGTAAAATATACTAAAAATGACTTATAAACAGGATCAGAAGAGTATTTCATTAGTCGGCTAAGAATAGCATAAGATCCATGTGCCACACTAATTACATGCATGTAAGTATAGTGATAACGATTAGCATTATTTATTATTATGCTGACACAATCCTTAGTGAGCAAACCAAGAAGCTTAATTAAATAGGAATAATCACTCGATTTGAGGGTGAGGTTCATGTAACTAGCTCATTTAATTAATGATAATCTCAGAGAAATTGTCTGCTTGTAATTTGGCAGTTTACGTCAATTCAGAAATCTAAGACACCCTGATGTGACACAACCAAAGATTATCGTTTTGGCGTCCCCATTTGCACTTAATTATATTTAATAATAATAATGATAGTAATCAACAAAGAATCATCGACGTGGCTCCTCTTAATTTGGATTATTCCTAATAAAAGTCACTAATTGTCTTGTCAAATAATATAGAACTGTTTCGGGAAAATCCATGAAGAGTCGTCTGCTCCGTCCAAAATCCACGCGAGATAAATGGTTCCATGCTAATTTCTTTGTTTGTTTGTATTTAATTGTTAATTTTTTTATTGTAATTATTTTTAATCATTAAAGTAAGTCCCCAGCAGATGAAGGCCACGTACGTTTTGGCATCATTTAAACTTCACTGTATTTTGAAATCGATGCTTAGCTTTCAGTTTCTCCTTCAAATGATCATAATTAAGTATTCTCCCCAACTAATTGTTGCGCAACAAATATATTTCCATATCAAAGTTAATATGTATCTTTCACCCCAAAAAATGTTAACCAGAAAGGTCGCAAGATGGGTGGTATTATTTCTCTAGACTCATGAAATGTAAGCTAAATACTCCCATAATTAATTTGTAGAAATTAAAAGATATTTATACAAAATATGTTGATTTTTTTAAGTATCCTTGTAATGGCTTGCATTGAAAACTACTTCTTTAATACGCGTAGCCAAAAAGAAAATTTTAAAAAAATTATAAATTTTGAAAATAAAATGAATTAAGATATTATATTTAAGATTAAAGTAAGAATATTGATTAGCTCTTATATTTAGGAATCACTAGGAATGCATTCATTTAAAGCAATACCGGTTTAATTTAATGAACTGACTGCCTAATGTCACTAAAAGATAAATTACTCCTCCCATTCTTAATATAGGACATAATTAGAAGGTTGATCTTGGTCCCAAATATAGACCTATTTTTCATATTTACTAATTCTTTCCTAAATTACCCCTATACCACAATAATATTTGTTACTTATTATTAATACACCTATATATTTTATAAAGTGATTGAATATTTATTACTCATTAATTCCACACATATATTAATTTTACCGTTTTATATTTTTAATAAAATAATTTAAAATATTTTTTGAAATGTTAATTTTTTAAAGAAGTTTTAACTGAGGATATTTTTGGAAACATATGTTATATTTATGATTATTATCTAATTTAACTAATTTTTTTAATTTAATTAAAATAGTTAAATAGGTCTTATATTAAAAATCAGGAGAGAAAAAAGTAACTGAACATGTAATTTTTCAAACCACTTTGTTGCCACGAGCAACGCTAAAGGAAACATCTGTAAAATGATAGCACACCTAAATTCCAACTCTCTCCCCCAAAGGGCCTAAAAGGTCGGTGGAATGAAGATGATGACCCCATTACGTGTCATGCCATGCTAACACCTTGTGGCCTACAAAATCAAAAGGTTGGTATCTATTTTATCAGAGGCTCAGGATGCTGTGGCAAGCAACAGATGTGAGTGCCTGTACTCAATTTCTCACTTGATGCGTCCCAGATTCAAAGTTCACTTCTATAATCTGAAAGGCAACCAATTCACTCACAACCCTTTCTGACAAAAAAAGAAGAAAAGGAAAAAAAAAATGGGGGGGGGGATGGACTGAAAATTGATAACATGTTTTATTCATTCACTTACTAACTAATAAGTGGTGAAAGCTATGTCTCTGACAAATCATTCAAAATTTTCATCACTAATCCTGAAGTTAATTTATAGGATTAGGACTTGGGTTGATATTGTTCGAATGCAGGCTTCCTTAGAATATTCTCTATCATCTTTGCAGCAATTTCCCTTCTGAAGCATCAGACGCATGGAGCGACTCACTAATAAAGTTGAAGAATTATCGATACACAAGCGTGAACTCTTCAATTTTCCTGCCAAGTACTAAAAGCATAAAATATGATTTTTTTTTTTCTTTGGGCTACGCATGGGTAGACTGTCAGATTAAATGTGAACACCTTTCTAGTCATCGGTTTGCTAATCCTAACCCCGTGATACAAAATATGATTTTAAATTTAAGTTTTATTGTAAAAAAAAAAAAAAGTGGCCCCCTTTTTTTGGAACCTTTTCCCACAAAAAGAGTTCAAAAAGAAGGCCCCAAAAAAAAAAAAAAAAAGTACCCCTTCCTCGCTCCCGTTCTTTTAAGAACCGAAAAGGAAACCGAAACTCTCGGCGCCAATTTCGCCGGACATCTTTTACACGCAAGTTAAATGCAACGGATTAGGCATAATTTGCATGCTGCTAATTAAGTCCCCGCATTGGTTATTAGCGTGATTTTTTTTCATCACAGGACATAACAGAAGGGGAAAAAAAAGAGACGTGACCACAAGAGAAGACGACATAAACGCGGTATTCAGTCGAACCCAAAACCCATGGAAGAAACCAGGGCAAAAACACAAACGCGTAAACCTACCATCGACCCGAGAAGGGGGAAAAACAATCAATATCATAATGTGAAGTCCACCTCAAGCAAGTTTTGCTGGTAAATTACTCCGACAAGGTCCATACTCCATAAGACGTTATTGCGTGGTGTCTTCAGCTATTTCCTGTTTGCCCTTTCCGCAGATATAGTTCACAACTGTGGCTACCTAGTTGGTGCAGCACTACTTGCGATTTGAAGTTTTGATCAATCTAAAATGGCTACTCGGCCATAAGGCCAATAAATGCCTCTCAACATCATAAACAGATAACCTACCAAAACCTACAAGAAGCATATATCACACACCGGTGACTATAGGTGGCAATAAGTAACATCTAAACTGAATATAAATTCATTAGCGCACACATTAATAAAACACATTTGCAATGACAACTTTTGATAACAGCAAAAAAGACGCTATAACCCAGGTGGTATATATTAGAATGTAGAGCCGCGTGCCTTAGGGTGGTGCTAACTTCTAATCAACATCTTAAATAGAATAGCAATACTAGCACCAGTGCAATAACAAATCCTTGCATCGAGCCATTGGCTACTTTGATAACAGTAAAACATTAATTAAAAGTGGGGTAAAAAATAGCATAGATTAGATCCCTGTGACTTAGTGTGGTACCAAGCACCATCTAAAACTGTATAACAATTCCTATAACATTGTAACATCACGTGTCGCACTGATGACAACAGCAATATTGAAGTGGAGCAAAAAATAATACTGAAACCTACATAGTGACATCATTTAGACCCCTGTAATTTTGGGGGGTAATAAGCAACATTTAATTTAAAGGTAGAACTAAACGGCAATGAACTAGCAAACTGTAACAAGAGCATTAAGTGCAGTACACTACGCACAATAGCTTATTAAAACAAAGAATCTACGACCATATCATAGATTAAATGAAAGTTATAGACAACATTTACAGGAACGAAAGTGAAGATCTAGAATCCTATCCAAACGCAGATGTAATCCCCAATTATTACGATTTCTATCAGTAAGCATTGATTTACATGTAATAAAAGGCACCAAATCAGCAAATTGGCGCCATCCTCCGGGGAACTTTTTCTCTATCGGCGTCCATAATTCCATCGGTAAAATCTCGAACAATCTTTTTGAAAGCAAAGTGCAGACAATTGGAAAGCATAATCCAGGAGAGAACCTGATAAACGAAATCGAACGCAGGGTCCGAATACGAAGACGATGAATCATCCCAGTTATGCCCTTCTCCGAATCGATTAAAATTCCAACTCCCACCACCACCAAAACCACTGCGGCCACCAAAAGGAGGATCGCCGCCATCACCAAAGAAGAACCCCTCATCTCCAGCATCCCCCGAGTCACCACCAGACAACCTACGCTTCGCCCGTCGTTTTCTGCGGATAACGGTCCGACGAGGCATTCTGTATGTATTGGGTTTCACCGGCGGAGGCGCAAGGGCGTCCACCGGCAAAATCAACGCCGAGATCTGGAGAAATCTGGACGATGGTGGGGAAGAAGAAGACGATTGTTCGGCGTACGAATCCGTTACGGAGAGGTTACAGGTGGAACAACAGCTCCGAAGGAGGAGGAGCTTGGCGACCCCAAGGCCTTTCGCAGAGGAAAGTGGTACGGTATCGGCGACGAGAATGTCCATGACCATCGCGATATTTTTCAGGGATCAACAAAGTTTCAGGAACTACTGGATGGAGAGGAAAAATGGGGAGCACGCGAAATCGGAACCGTAATGGTCAGCGAATTTTCATCAAAACGACCCTTTTTACCGGGGGAGAGCCTGGACACGTGTCTGCCCGTTTATTTATCGTAACCAAAAATTTCGTAGTGCTGTATCTCCATTTACTCATGACCCGATTGAATTTTTTTTTTTTTCTTGGGTCAAGGAAGCATGACCATGTGTCCATATTGAATTAAATTAATTAAGTTGCCCCATCGTACATCTCAAATTTAACTTACAAGTACACACAGTATTGTAAGAGAAAACCAGTTGAGGAAATGTTACTCCTTCCGGTTACTATAAAACGAGCCTTACGTTTAATGTCGAGAGAGTAATTTAATTAGTAACATGATTAAAATGAAGACACTACGAAAAATTTGCATGATCCATTGTAACCAGCGGAGCTTGGATTTTTGGCTTCAAATGAGACATAAGTTTTGAGATATAGTTTTATTAATGTAGTATAAAATATTGTAATCTAGACATTTTTGTGAGTGATGTAAAACTTAAAAAATAAATTATAAAATTCCAATATACAAACGATTTATTTTTTCATAAATTTTTGGAAAAATTAATCTTCTTATTTCTATAGTTTTCACTCATCTGTAATTTAATCTTTGTACTTTGACTTGGTAAATTTTTGAAAAAATTAATCTTATGATTTCTATAGTTTTCACTCATTTGTAACTCAATTTTTGTACTTTGACTTGGTGTAACTCATTTTCTATAGTTTTGATTCGGTTATAACTTAATTTCTAAAGTTTGACTCGCTGCAACCCAGTCTCTATACTTTTAACCATTTTATAATTTAGTCCCTCTTTTTATTAGATATATAATTTCATTTTAAAAAAATACAAGAACTAAATTATAAAATGGGTAAAACTATAGGAACCGGGTTGGAGAGAATCAAACTCCAGGGACTGAGTTACAACCAAGTCAAAATTATAATGATTGAGTTGCATCAAGTTGAAGTATAAAAACTAGATTACAAACGTGTCAAAATTATAAAGATTAAAAGATTAATTTTTCCTAAATTTTATATTTTAGATGGATATTGATTTATTACTCGGAAAAATGATATCTATGTCCAATCCTAAATATAAAAACTAGTTTGTATCATACGAGTAATCAATACTCCCTCCGTTCCTTATTATAAGAGACATTTGATGCTTATGACATGTTCCCATATATAAGAGATATTTAAAAGTTGTCTTTATTTTTTTGTATTGATTTCCTATTTTATCCCTATTTATTTTGTCTCCAACTCATACTCTCCCTCCCTCCCACTTCTCTTTCTTTTAATAATTTAATTGTTTTCTCTCATACTCTCTCTCATTATTAATGGGGGTATTGTTGGAAAAAATATTATATTTTTTACACATTAATTGTTCTCAACTAATTTTAACTGTTTTTTTATTAACGTAATTTAGTTATTTGTCTCTTATAATAAAGAACGGAAGGAGTAGTATTTATTATTTAATAAAGACATCATCCAAAAAAAGAAAAAGGACGCTAAGCCTTTGTCGTCCTAGAGTATTTTTGCTGGATAAAAATAAGGGGAAATCACAAATAAAGACCCACGAATTAGCAAAATCACTCTATGGTCACCTGAATATATCAAATTATCATGAGGGACCCAGTCTCAAATTGTAATTATAAAATCATGGCCAAATTACCAAAATACCCCTCTTTAATTTTTTTTTTCTAAAGGAAGCCACTGCCTCACCGGAATCCGGCCACCGGCGCCGGAGCTCCGGCGGCCGCTTCTGGCCACTGTCGGCGGCCAGACGCCGGGGTCCGGCCGCCAGCGGCAGCTTCCGGCAGCCTTCCTTTGTTTTTTTTTTGCAACTTTTTTTTTTTCAATAGTGGGGGAAGTGAGGTTGGGGGGATTTGATCCCCCAACCTAATGCTTTCCAAAATAAGGAATGACCATTGAGCCAACAAATTTTTGTTAACATTATAATGCAAAAAAAAAATATAAGTTAACTCATTTACTCTTGTTCCAGGTGATAACAACAATACATTTGGAAATAACAAGTTCTGATTGTAAAATAACACGTCTGGAATAAAAATTTAACAATATGTTTTTTTTATAACAATAAATTTTGTTGCAGGCAATAACAACAATACATTTAAAAATAACAAGTTCTGATTATAAATAACAAGTTTGGGATTAAAATTTAACAACACGTTTTTTTTATAACAACACACTTTGTTTCAAGTGATAACAACAATACATTTAAAACTAACAAGTTCTGATTATAAGATAATAAGTCTGGGATTAAAATTTAACAACACGTTTTTTTATAACAATTAATTATTTTATACTTTTAAAAAATAAATTATTTATAACTTATAAAAAATATTTTTAATATATTTATTTCTCTAAAAAATACTTTTTAATCTGTATATCTATACAACTCATTATAAATCAAATTACTTCTTATAAATTATAAAGTATTTATAATAAGGCATTTTTAATCTATTAATCATAGTATAAATTTTATATTATTTCATTTTTTAAATATTAAAAATAGTTTTTATATTTAAAGAATAAAATAGTATTTTTAATTATAAATTAGAGATAAATTTCATTTATAAATTTAAGCAGTCAAAAAGTATTTTTAATCTACAATAAATTGTACTATTTATAATTTATAAGAAATAGTTTGATTTATAATAAGTTGTATAGATATATAGATTAAAAATTTTTTTAAAAAAATTAAAAAAGTGTGTTGCCATTTTCCCTAAATTTTATTTATAAATTTGAACAATAAAAAGTATTTTTAATCTATAAAAATTATACTTCAAGTTCTGATTATAAATTGGAGATAAAAAATTATTTTTTTAGCAAATTAAATAGATTACAAGTACTTTTTATAAGTTATAAATAATTTATTTTTCCAAAAGTATAAAATAATTAATTGTTATAAAAAAGGTGCTGTTGAATTTTAATTCCAGACTTGTTATTTTATAATCAGAACTTGTTATTTCCAAATATATTGTTGTTATCACCTGAAACAAAGTGTGTTGCTATAAAAAACGTGTTGTTAAATTTTAATCCCAGACTTATTATCTTATAATCAGAACTTGTTATTTTTAAATGTATTGTTGTTATCACTTGAAACAAAGTGTGTTGTTATAAAAAAAAACGTGTTGTTAAATTTTAATCCCAAACTTGTTATTTTATAATCAGAACTTGTTATTTTTAAATGTATTGTTGTTATTGCCTGCAACAAAATTTATTGTTATAAAAAAAACATATTGTTAAATTTTTATTCCAGACGTGTTATTTTACAATCAGAACTTGTTATTTCCAAATGTATTGTTGTTATCATCTGGAACAAAGTAAATGAGTTAACTTATATTTTTTTTTTGCATTATAATGTTAACAAAAATTTGTTGGCTCAATGGTCATTCCTTATTTTGGGAAGCATTAGGTTGGGGATCCCCCAACCTCACTTCCCCCACTATTTAAAAAAAAAAAGTTGCAAAAAAAAAAAACAAAGGAAGGCCGCCGTCGCCGCCGGAGTTCCGGCGGCCGGACCCCGGCGTCCGGCCGCCGACAGTGGCCGGAAACGGCCGCCGGAGGTGGCCGGATTCCGGTGAGGCAGTGGCTTCCTTTTAAAAAAAAATTAAAGAGGGGTATTTTGATAATTTGGCCATGATTTCATAATTACAATTTGAGACCGGGTCCCTCATGGTAATTTGACATATTCAGGTGACCATAGAGTGATTTTGCTAATTCGAGGGTCTTTATTTGTGATTTCCCCTAAAAATAATATTTAAGAAAGAAATAGAAATTTCAGGTCAAATAAAAAAAAAAAGAAGAGAAAAGAAATTGTGACATACTGACATTAGCGCCATCAAAACCCTAAGGGAAAATTTCACTGTAGGACTGCACAAGACAATTAATCTCAAAGAGCTCCCAAAACTTTCTGAAATCTCACTGCAGGACCAAGGGGCCAATTTGATATTAATTCCACAAACGAAATGACGCCATTACCCTTAGCATCAGGTGAACCAGTCCACATGTGAACGGACTGATTCTACGTGTGAATATATGTATTTATTCTGCAAATTGGCTAGTTCCCCTTGCAAATGCGCTCTCCTGCACTTGTTTCTTCACGAACGCATGCATCAGGTGAACCAGTCTACATGTGAACGAACTGATTCCACATGTGAATATATGTATTTATTCTGCAAATTAGCTAGTTCCTCTTGCAAATGCGTTTTCTCGCACTTGTTTTCTCACGGACGCATGCATCAGGTGAACTAGTCCACATGTGAACGGACTGATTTCACGTGTGAATATATGTATTTCATCTGTAAATTAGCTAGTTTCCCTTGCAAATGCGCTCTCCCGCACTTGTTCCCTCACGGACGCATTCATCAGGTGAACCAGTTCACATGTGAACGGACTGATTCCACGTGTGAACATATGTATTTATTCTGCAAATTGGCTAGTTCCCCTTGCAAATGCACTCTCCCGCACTTGTTCCCTTCTACTAGGGGCAGTGTCGTCATTTCGTTTGTGGAATTAATATCAGATTGGCCCCTTGGTCCTGCAGTGAAGTTTCAGAAAGTTTTGGGGGCTCTTTGAGATTAATTGTCTTGTGCGGTCCTACAGTGAAATTTTCCCAAACCCTAACTGCCGACGCGGGCTGTCATCTTGTCCGTATAAAAAGAACCGCCTGAAATAGTGAAAAGCCCCTTGTAGTTTCCCCTGACCTCACACGCGGAAACAAGGAAGCCCAGCCATGGTGTCGCTGAAGCTTCAGAAGCGGCTAGCTGCCAGTGTTCTCAAGTGCGGGAAAGGAAAGGTCTGGCTTGATCCCAATGAAGTCAGCGAGATTTCCATGGCCAATTCTAGTACTTCTCTTCTCCCTTTCTCCAATTTCTTATCATTCATGCCTGTATATTACCCGAGTTACAAGGGAAAATTATCATTTTTATCATAATTAGCTTGTATCCAAGTTACTGAGTTCGCTTTTGAATCAAGGATTAAAATCAGAAGTTTTTGTCACTGCATAACATGAGGTGAACATTCGTTAGTTTATACAGATGAATCCGCAGAAAATAAGTATATGATGAAGATGATGTCTTGAGCTCGGTTTATGTCTGAAATGTTTAATCTTATTGGAAATGGGAAGTGCATTTTTTTTGTTAGTTTGGATATCAATAGCAGGATCTGAAGCAATTGCTTTTCCAGGAAAATCAATGGATCGTTTTTAATCTTTGTTGGTGTTGGTGTGGATGTTTGGTGTCGGATATCTTGCTTTATAGCAAAGAATAGCGGCGTCTCGCTTATAGACCTATAGAAACCTGGAAGACGTGTGCAAATTGTTTTTGGCCAACCAATTATATGATTCAGCCTATTTGTTTCCTACCTCGCTTGCATCTTATTTGCTGACGTGAAAATTGGTGTTGGTAGTATTGACATGCGCTTGATAGATTTAGAAACGTACAAGATTGTTTTCTTGTTCTCCTCATTTTAATATACGATAGGATGTACAGTTAGAAGTGGCCAATTTGGTTTATAGTTCCTGTCCTATCTGGTTCATGTATTAAATCTTTTCCGTGTTGTTAGGGAATGTTATTCATTTAGCTGGTAAAAATAGTTTCTGTGAGAACTAAGTATAGTTAGTTAGGTTGGTTAGTTTTTGAGTGTACTGAAGACATACTTGGACAGCATTGGCTGTTAATACTGATGCATTATTATTTGTGAGCAATGAAGCTTATGCACTATTCAGTATATCAAAGCACTTCTCTCTCCTCCTCCTCTCCTCTCTGTGGGTTTGTGTGTTCTGTCATATATGAGACAATACTCTTTGAGCCATTCTCTTGCATGTACAAACTGTATTGTCACAGTCTCACCCATTAATATTAGTGCTGTGAAATTGTTTCAATCATTTGAGGAAGCTGTTTCAGCTTTCCAAATTTTGCCAAAGATAAGTCTGTTGTTTATGATTTTTGGTGTGTGTGTGTGTGCGCGTGCGTGAGTATGAGTGTGTGAGAGAGAGCGAGAGGTCAACACTGCCTAAATTTGTCGTAGTTCATTCTCTAGGCACCTTAGTCGTGTGCGTGATTGATCATGAGGCAGGAATTATGTCTTACTGGATATGTAGCTGGTGAAATTCTGTTTCTTCTTGTCAGGATTGTAAGCTGTCAGATCCAAGTCAGCTTCTTATATTTTCTAGGTCTTGATGACATGTGTTGTAATAATGGCATAATGGCTAATGACAGGACAAAACATCCGAAAACTGGTGAAGGATGGCTTTATAATCAGGAAGCCCACAAAGATTCACTCTAGATCCCGTGCTCGAAGAATGAAGGAGGCCAAAAGAAAGGGTCGGCATTCTGGATATGGTATGATAATTTATCATTAGCATTTGTGGCTTGTTTTGTTGCACGATTTTGTTTTGTGAAGTCATTAATCGGGGCTTATTTGATTTTGATTAAGGTAAGCGTAAGGGTACTAGGGAGGCACGGCTGCCAACAAAAATACTGTGGATGAGGAGAATGCGTGTGCTGAGGCGGCTGCTTCGCAAGTATCGTGAAGCTAAAAAAATTGACAAGCACATGTACCATGACATGTACATGAAGGTGAAAGGTAATGTCTTTAAGAACAAGCGTGTTTTAATGGAGAGCATCCACAAAACCAAGGCAGAAAAGGCCAGAGAGAAAACTCTGTCAGACCAATTTGAGGCCAAGCGTGCTAAGAGCAAGGCAAGCAGGGAGAGAAAGCTGGCTAGGAAAGAGGAGCGGTGGGCTCAGGTAATGCTATGATTCCATCTCCACTCGTCTCCTTGACCCATAGAAATTGGAAGCGATTTAATTTTATATTCTTGTCATTGAAATGCAGCTGGCCAGCATAAAAAGTCACTTTTTACCTGTGATTTATCAGCTTTATCATTGCTGCTACTTTGTGTGGTAATTTGACTAAATTCATAGACTGATTTGGTGGGTTAACGTTGTATGTAAACTATGTAGGGACCTGGAGAGAGAGCACCTCAGGCAGCTTCACAACCACAAACTGAGTAAGCAATAATCTTTTTTTTCCCCTTAACCAAAAAGCATTAATCTATTGAGTGTTGACTATATAAATCTTTTGAACTATCTGTTTTTTTTTTTGTTGATCACGTGACAAATTTGGATGCTATCTCTCCTTCAGGGGTGCTAAGAAAACAAAGAAGTGATGGCTGAACTGAGACACCGGGGCTTGGGTGCTGAAGATTGAAGGTTGATTGTTGGATGTAGGATAGAAGTGTCTATGTTGGAGCTATATTGTTATCAGAACCGAACACTCGAACTCAGCTGTGGTATTATTTTCTTAATGAAGTATGTGCTCGAATCTCAATTTCTGTTGCGTCAAATATGGAGAATACCAGTAGATGAGGTTACAGTAATCTGTATGTTCATTTTTTTGTTTTGTTTTGTTTTTTGCATTAAACATTGTCCGCCCTGTAGCCGTTTGAGGTTTTTATTACAGAAGAATTTTGTCGGAAGCAAGTCTCTTAGTGACGGGGTTCCCTTTCATCTTTTTCCTGTCTGTTTGTTATGATATACTGTATGATCCCAAGTCTTAAGTTCTAACCCCGTCCATCATCTAGTTCCCACCCCACTCTTTTCTGTAGAAACAATAACAATAGTAAAGTAGAACGAGCCTTATTTTTTTTTTTCAAAAAAAGGAATGAGCCAAATATTAGTGTCCTTACTTGCATTCTAAAACGTCATCTCCTTGTGCTTTTATTTAGAAAAATAAAGAAATTAAACAATAATTGATAAAAATAATAAATATTAGAACGGGACGTACGAAGGACTAAAGAGAAATAGTTCTTCATCTGTCATGCCAATTGCCAATAGGGTGGGTCGGTGGCTCAAGAAAATCCAGTTACTGGGGAGTTAATAAGAAATGTGATAATTTGAATTAAAGAGAATGATTGTGCAAAGCATGGCATGTGGATGTGGTCAAAAAGAATAAGCTTGATAGTAAAGATGCCCTCCCGTGAGGTTAGAAGATGTTTATTTTATATTTCTTTAGGTTCTAAATGTACAAGTTAAATAATTACCTTATAAAGATTAATGATTAAGAAAATTAATTAAATTACAGTATGATTGGACCACGTTTTTTATCCCAATGAAAACGGGCTTTTAAAAGGAAAGACACTTTAAGGCTTAAGCCCAATTATACTGGCTATAATTGTGTTTATCTAAGTCTAACCTCGTGTGACCCAGTAGCATCTCAGGATCTTTGTTGTTGATAGCATAATATTTGTCCATGAGTTAAGAAATGATTTAGGTTGCTTATGGCTAAGAGATAATTTACGTTTCTATAAATATTGATATGTTGCCCAAAAGGTATGCATATTGATATAAATATATATGTATATATATAAGTTACGCTTTTTATTTTATAATAAAGTTGTTTTGATTGAATTATTTCAATTGTACTGCAAATATTAAGTTGATATTTGAAGACTCATTGAAAATCGAGTTTTTGTAACTTTTTTTTTTGCCAACGAGTTTTTGCAAATGATTATGCTTTAACGATGATCAACGGACTTCCAAATATAAAATACTAGCAGAATGTCAAACTTTACGGTTTACCCATGCCCAAGAAAAACAAAGAATAAAAAGACTTTAGGCCTTGTCATGAGGCACTTGAACACAGTTAAAATTAATTCAAAAGGCCAGGCCAGGCAAGAAAAATAAAACACTAACAAAAATGGGAGCTTTACGATGCCTGATGATATGATAATTCATCCTCTTTTAAGGAATTTGCCTGTTTATAACTCGTAACTTTCGCTTAAAATCATATATATATAAATACTCCCTCTGATTTATTATTCATGAAATTAAATCATTAAAGTGTAGGGTATAAGAATATATATTAGATTTGACAAACTAAAAAATTTATTAAATTTTAAAAGAGCTAATAAAATTTAAAATTTTTCTTAATAATACTGGAAGTGCTTTATACGTAAGATTAGAAGAGTGAATTATATTCAAAAAATTATAATACAATTAATGAGATTTTAAGTAAAAATAATTTTTTTTTAAAAAAAAATTAATACTCCATCGTAAGTCATGACAAGGACCATTTACCTTCATGGAAGTGGCTTCTGATAAGGACGTAGGGAATATAAGAATTGCATGAAATTGTATCATTTCTTAACGAAACCAACCAAAACCAAACACGCAACGAGCCTACGACTGCGAGAAGTTGGCTTTCTCATTATTCGAAGGAATAAAATGTAATTTGGCCAATCTTTCTGATGCTAAACATAGCAAGTAGGAATTGACTTCTGGGGACGATGGATCACCAGACCACCATCGCAGCAAACGCGCGGGAGACGCCATTGTCTCACCCTCAACAAACACTCCCCAGATTGGATCCGACCGACGACATTGGCGTCGTTTTATTCCTTCATGTTTTTGAATTCCCATGGCGTCGGACTCGGAGGGATCGGTGTCCGGGGGCCCTTCCCGGTACGTTCAACTCCCCCCGATCCGCCGCCGACGATAATGTCACCCGTCGCATCGTTCCGGCAAGGCGGCCCTGAGCCCGTTCGGATTTTCGATGAGTTGCCTAAAGCTACCATCGTCTCCGTCTCTCGTCCCGACGCTGGCGACATCAGTCCCATGCTCCTTTCTTACACCATTGAGTTTCAATACAAACAAGTACCAAGACTTCCATATCTCTCTTCATTGTCTTCCTACTAGTGCTTTTCTTGGAGTTGTTTGAGAGTCCTCCATTTCATGAGCCCAGATCCTTGGACCTCTGAAGTGTGAAATGACGAAACCAATACATGTAATCATAAAAGCAAGTGATCGAAGAAATAGGAAAGGAAATGATTATCTGAATACAATAATATAGTTTAACACAGTATGTAAATAACGTAGGTAAATTCGCCATAGCTTTACTGGGGGAACAAAGGGGCCAAAAAACTAAAATGGAGAATAAACCAATATTCTGCGCTGGACTGAGGAATCAGAAATAAACCCCGTTTCTTTATGGTCGCCAATGGACCTTGGCCATTTATCTTCAGTTTTCTCAGCTTAAAATTTACCTTTTAAACTTTCTTGTCTCTTGCAACTTGATTTGGTGACTTCTTCCTTCCATTTTAGGCTGTGATTGATGAATCAAGTCGATATGCCTTTGCAGTTTGGTGCTTAACATTTTAGCTATGGTTTCAATTTGACGATAGAAACTTCAGATAATAGGTGTTTTTATTTACTTGAATGAATTTCCTGTCACTGGACTATTCTTAATATGTATCTCATTTTCATTTTAGTTCAAGTGGCAGTTGGTGAAGAAAGCTTCTCAAGTGATTTATTTACATTTTGCACTGAAGAAACGTGCATTTATTGAGGAAATTAATGAAAAGCAAGAGCAGGTGTGTGTTGCCCGATAATCTTTATATTGATTTTCTGGTTAATTCCTCATATTAAAATGTTTTTTTTGCCATACACGTATCGTTTATACTATCCTCTCCTTTCAATCACATTTTCATTTTATTTGATGATATATTGTTTGCCTAGCAAAGTTTTGGGATTGTGATGTTCACTGAAACATTATATCAAGGTTAAAGAATGGCTTCAAAATCTAGGAATTGGAGAAAACAACGCTATGGTGCAAGATGATGAGGAAGTGGACGATGAAACTATCTTGCATCATGACGAAAGTGCTAAAGACAGGTGACATTGCAACTTATGTTAGCCTATTCTTCAGAACTTCGGTGACTTTTTTGGTCACAATTACCTTATATGTGGTTTTTCTTCCAGGGATGTTCCATCTATTGCTGCCTTACCAATTATACGGCCAGCCTTAGGTGGGCAGCAGTCTGTCTCAGACACAGCGATGGTTGCTATGCAAGGATATCTCAATCACTTTTTTGGAAATATTAGTATTGTTAATTCTCCGGAGGTTTGCTTCATGCATGTACTTATTGATGATAATACTTGTCCGTGTTATAAAAGCCACGCTTTCTTTATCTAACTGTCATAATATTATCTTCATTCAAATGTCATAGAAATACAAGTTATGCAAAAAGGCTAAAGAATCAGTCTTTGATACATTGAAACTTTAAAATTTAACCTGGTAATGTAATATGTAGAATGAAGACAAGTCACATCAATCTGGGGTCGCCTGTGCCAGCCATCATCATTGAAAAGTTGTGTTAGCAAATAATTACTTTAGAACAGTGTGTGTGTGTGTGTGTGTGTGTTAGCTTTAAGCTGCACGGGCAGTTTGTTAGTAGGCTTAGCTGTATTTTAACTAACTTAGAGCTAGAAATAGACATATGCCAAACTGAGCAAGTCAATAATACCATTTAGACTAAACTTTGCTACCCTGTCATCGCTCTTTATCTCTGCCTTTGAACTGTTGTTGCATTCCTGTACTTACTATTATGACAAGGTACCTGCATTTGCAGTAAGCAGCTGTATTGCGTACTGTAGGTTTGCAAGTTTTTGGAGGCATCAAAGTTATCCTTCTCACCTGAATATGGCTCCAAGCTGAAAGAAGAATATGTGATGGTGAAGCATTTGCCAAACATTTCAAAGGATGATGATTCCAGACAATGTTGTATTGTTCAGTGTTTCAGTTGTTGCAATGACAACTGGCAAAAGGTAGTGACATTGTGCTTTCAACATGGGTTGATAGCTTTGTGTGGAATTGTCGTGATACCTGTAAATGCAATAACTTGGGTGTGAAACTTGGACAGTACTGTTGAAGTCGTACATTGAAGTCAAATTATGAAAATATACTAGAAGTCATTCATACGTAATTTCGGCATCAATTGAAGCTATTTTATACTCTCATGCTGGTTGATAACTTTAACATGATATGATTTGCATCAGTCTGATGGTTCAATGAAGAGCAACGGTTTTGTTGATCTTCTTGGTTAATATATCATTCATTCCAAAAGTCCTTATCATTTCAAATTTAAAATTTATTTTAGTTTTTAAAAAGGGACAAATCTGATCTGTCTCCTTCTAGGCTATATTACAACCTAGAACACTCTAGAAATAACTGAAACAAGAGATTAAAATTACTGGAGCAAATAAGTGAAATGGACAACTTCAGCTACAGAACTAAATAACTTCTATAAACTCCCCAAGAATCATTCATCTCAGCTTCCCTTTAGCCTTCTTCATCCTTGTTCTATAGCTTGTCACGCTCATGCCTTCTGACATGGGTATGAATAATTGGGAGTCTTATCATTTTGTTTCCCAAAAGTTGTTATGATGTTTCCAAGATCGCATCCCACCTTTTGGTTTATTGCCCTTGTTTTATCCGCATGTTGTTGCTTCCTAGTTTGTTACAATTTACAACGATGCATGTTGCAACATGCCATAGTTTGAAATTCTTCAGTTCTACGAATGGAGCATCAGTCTTCAATTCCTTATATTTAACTTACAAATTACTATAGATTTTGGTTCGATGTTATCATTGTTTGCTTGTCTGTTTTGTTACATGTAGGTATGGGCTGTACTAAAACCTGGATTCTTGGCGTT